GAGTGCACAAAGGCATTTCAGCATGCTAGTACACTGCAAATTTGATATTTTCTCACTCATTATTTAATTCCAACTCCTTAAACAATGCATCTTATGTTAAGCTGTAGTACAGACAGCACATAGCATAAACCAATGCAATTTAATCTCACTTCTTTGTAGTGATGCTTAGAGACTGTTCACACTGAATATGATTTTCAAATCACTCTTCTACAGAAAAAAGAGTAGGCACTTTTCTGACACAGCATAGGATGCATCTTGAGCCGCACTTACTGAATTTGGTCAGCAATTTCTCGAGTAAGCAGTCATGACACAGAGACCTCGATTACCTTTCCCACTCTGAGAACTGTAGAGGGACATAACATTACTGGGGGAGATTTATGAGGCAGAGTACAGTTTCGTACCTAACTCCCACTGAAAGTCGGGGCCAGTTGAGCACCACCTAACTTTCTATTTGTGCCTTGAAAATCTTCCTCTCATATATTAAAATCATTGTTCTGGGGTAGGGCTAGGAATTAACTAATTGGACTGAGCATTAATAAGGGAAAGACCAAGACAATGAGGATCAACTAGTCCAACACCACATCTGGAAGATGTGGAGCAGTTCATCTAGTTGGGGATTATTACGGGCAGAGACGGAGGAACAGACAAAGATATCAATGCTAGGATTGGGAAAGCAACAGCTACATTCAAGACTCTTCAGCCCATATGGAGTTCACAAATAATATCTGCGAAGACAAAGCTGCGAATCTTCAATACAAATGTGAAGAGTGTGCTCTTGCATGGATGTGAGACCTGGCATACTAAAAAAGTCTTCAAATCACAAGCTACAGATATTCATAAACAGATGCCTGAGGTACATCCTTCACATCAAATGGCAAGACTGTCACAAATGAGGAGCTTTGAAACAGAGCAGGACCAGAACCACTTGACATTCAAATCAAGAGAAGAAAGTAGGGATGGCTAGGCCACACTCTCAGAAAACCAACATCCAGCATAGTCTGTCAAGCTCTCACATGGAACCCACAAGGAAAATGCAAAAGTGGAAGACCTCGGACAGTGTGGAGAAGATCTATTGAGATTGAAAGACAACTGGGGTACTCCTGAAGTCAGCTAGAAATTTTGTCTCAAGACAGAGTGAAGTGGAGGAGACTTGTAGATGACCTATGCTCCACTCAGCGTGCAAGGGCTTAAGAAGAAGAAGAAGAAGGGCTAGGAATGAGGGCAGTTCAGTATTCATGCTACCCCAAGGAGAGAGGATAACCCCAGCCCTCTCTCGCCGCAGCAGCTTATGGCCAGGTGAAAAGTGCCTGTCCATGGATGTTGGAGCTACAGCGGGCACAGCTGGGGGAGGGGTGCATATCCCTTAGTTGGTGGACAGACAAACAAACAGACCCACAGAAAGGAGTCAGGTGGCACTTTAGAAACTAACAGATTTATTAGGGTGTAAGTTTTCATGAGATACAACTCACTTCCTCAGATGCTAGAAAAGAAAAGGAAAGGGATCCAGAGATGAGAGTATGACATCAACTGCTAATTAAATCAGAGTGGGTAAGATATTTTAAAATACCATTGGTATTTTAAAAGAGACTCAATGCAAAGAGGACACACAGCATTTTATAATCTAAGTGGTCTACAAGAACATAAATTAATATAATTTTGCACTCAAACCAGCAACCACTTAAATCAGATGTTTTGCTGTATGTCAGGGTGTCAGATATCAGAAAATATATATATTAGTGAGAGTCTGTAGATTATTAAATGACAGTTGAGAAGCCAACTTTCCTTTTTTAACTTGGAAGATATTCCCAGGATCTGTGACATCTGTGGTGGCTAATCCCCCATAGAGAAACTGACATTAAAAGGAATTCACACTGTGGTAAAGCCATCTTCCTGTTACAATGTCAGATATGAGTTTCCAAAGCTCTCTTGGATTCTGGGCTGTAGAAGAGAACATGGAGTAAAGAATGATAAGGTTGGTTTCCAGATTAACAAATCTGACAAACAGATTAGAGATTGTAACTTTAGAACAGCTACTGACAGTACATGAAATCTTTCCAGTAAAGTATTGATAGTTTCCACACACTATACGCCTCATTAGTGACCCGTGTACATGATACAGAATACAAGTCATAATTTTAAATTCCAGTCCATGTCACTTTCAACATGCAAATTACACACGTTTTGTATTTCAAAAGCAAAATGTGTAATGAAGTATGATTGCATTCCCTCCAAACATCCTGGCTACGTCTAGACCGGCATGATTTTCCGCAAATGCTTTTAACGGAAAAGTTTTCCGTTAAAAGCATTTTCGGAACAGAGCATCTAGATTGGCACAGACGCTTTTCTGCAAAAGCACTTTTTGCGGAAAAGCGTCCGTGCCAATCTAGACACGCTTTTCCGCAAAAAAGCCCCGATCGCCATTTTCACAATCGTGGCTTTTTGTTGAAAACAAATCTGAGCTGTCTACACTGGCCCTTTTGCGCAAAAGCTTTGCGCAAAAGGACTTCTGCCTGAACGGGAGCAGAATAGTATTTCCGCAAGAAGCACTGATTTCTTACAGTAGGAAGTCAGTGCTTTTGTGGAAATTCAAGCAGCCAGTGTAGACAGCTGGCAAGTTTTTCCGAAAAAGCGGCTGATTTTCCGGAAAAACTGGCCAGTCTAGACATATCCACACTGTCACGTACACAAGAATGAGGAATTCATAAGATTTTCTCAGTGAGCAAAAACTACATGAGAAAAAGGCATGCACACATTTTATGGTACTACATTGCTCTGGGTAGTTAACTGATTTCAGTCTTTCCTTTATCATTTCTTCCCTTTATAGTCTTAGTAGTACATTTTGAACTCTCACTAGAAGATGAAGAATTTGGAGTCTTCTACTCACTTTCACCTTTCCAACCATCTCTCCTCATCACCCCTATTTCTGGTCAAATCTAGGGCACTTCACAGAATTGGAAGATCTCCAGAAACATGGCCATTGTGCTGGCCTGCAATGAGCTCTTGTGAGCTCATAGTTTCCTTAACACTGTGTGAAGGTGTTAGATATGGAAATTAGTCAGTCAGTATATTAGATTATCTGATGTTACTATTCCAGCTCATCAATAATTTACACTAAACAGCTGCATATTTGTACACAGCTATTAACAACAGGCTCTTGTAATGAACAGAGCAAGTTGCCCTTTGGGAAAGCAAGTTTAAAAACCCTCATATAAGGAACTGATAGGGTCATGCTCTATCACAACCAAAACCTGGCTCTACCTCTTCATAGCTGTGCTGAATTTGGATCTAGCTTCACTTCTAGAACACTCAATCTTATTTTCCAATGAGCTTAGCCATATGACTTTTCTTATTCAAATTATTGAGTCATCTTCAGATGCTGTGCTTATTTGATAGTTTCTATGTTGAAAATTGGGAACAGTTATAGTATATGCACATTAAAACCCTATAGAAATGAGACAATCACCAGGCAGATGAAAGATGCTAGCTGGAGATTTGATCCCCATCTGGGATTGTCTGAGCCAACCAACCCTCCTATGCGTCCTTTAGAAAGGGACCCCATTCATATGGGAACATTGCTGGCTGTTCCTCTTTGCCAGGGAGCAAGGGGAAAGTGCAGTTTGTTGTATTCCTCGCTCCAGCTGGGGAGTGGGGGGGGAGGGGAAGACAAACCTGGATGTGCCCCAGACAGGGGAAATGCACCCCTCCCCTAGATGTGCCCACTGGAACTGCAGCAGCCAGGGAGAGGCGGTTCTCATCTGGCCTCACGCTGCTGTGGTGGGAGAGGGCTCAGATAGTTCTCTCTCCCTGGGGGCAGCCTGTATACTGAACAGCTCATCCCCAGGCCCACCTGAGGGCAATGATTTAAATAAAGAGAAACAAACCCAAATAATATCTGTTACACTTTCTAGCAATACATATACAATATCATTTCTAATTAAAGTCTCAGATCATTCTGGGGAAAATAATGGCCGCATAGTAATGAAACTATCAGAGATCTACACTGAAATTACTGAATATAAAAGACTCCTATGGCCTTTAAGTGGGTATTATGCAGATTCAGGAATTACAGGATTAGATATTTAACATGATTAATAATAGAGATGTAGCCGTGTTAGTCTGATCTTGCTGAAACAAAAGAGAGGACTATGCAGCACTTTAAAGATTAACAAGATGGTTTATTAGGTGATGAGCTTTCGTGGGCCAGACCCACTTCCTCACGTCAAATTCTGGAAGAATTTGGAATGGTCATGCCAATTCTCTCTCCAGCAGCCCTCTGCAGCAGCAGCCTGCCTGATGCTGTGTTTTTAATGCAGGACAGAACAGAAGCATTCCAATTATTTGTTCTTTGTTCCCCAAATGGAGCAGTGCACTCAGATGTCAGTTCTCAGAGCTTTGAAAGAGGAGAGGTGCATGCCTGCAAAGCAGCGGAGATCCTAAAACACTGAGCACAGCCATCAGGGCAGGCATTGTGGGACTCCAGCAAAAGCCAGTTCTCTCAACAAAACAGATTGCACACTGACTCTTTGTTGACAATAAAAGAAGACAAAAAGACCAAAGTTTCTTGGAGAGGTGGAAGTTTCGTGTTGCCAAAACTGGGTGTTTTCCCCCCCAACAAAAGTTACATTGTAGTGTGTACACTCTCACTATTTTTTTCAACATAAGGCAGTTTTGGGTGACAAAACATGCCTGTGTAGACAAGGCCTGAGTGACCCAGAGTCGGCCTTTAAAGACCTGTTGGGAAGATGAGTAAATAGTAAGTGGGCTTTTACATCTAAGTTAGGGTGTAACTTTGAAATGCAAACTTGCATTGTTACAGCAATAGAATGATAGATGTTTGCTCAGGTCTTATGAGGTGAACAATCTTTGTCTGTTACTACAGCTTTGATTCAAGATCAGAACAGAATATTAACATTTATTTTAAAACAAAGTAGTATTTTTTTTACAGATCTCTAAAGTTTGTGGTAAACTGCTTAGTGATAAATTATCTTATGTTCGTTACCATGCTGTTTGGGAAACAAGATTACACCAAAGAACCTAGTATGTGTTCCCAGGCCAAGAGGCTACTGCAAAGGCATAAAACCCCTTTGTTCATGGGGAAAGCTGCAAGCCATAAGAAATGACATCCCAGGATATCCTGGTGTCCCTTTTTAATGGACATTGATTTAGAGTCTCAGACCTGCTTGAGGTTTTATTATGGGGGGAACCAAAGCCACAAGGATTGAAATCCAAGTCATTGACTGGAATCAGCTTGGGATATGGATTTTGGAAAATAAAAGAACTTTTTGCAACTGCAGGATCTCTATTATGTGTCAGAGGAGTAGCCGTGTTAGTTTGTAACTTTAAAAACAATGAGTAGTCCTGTGGCACCTTAGAGGCTAACAAATATATTATATCTTGAGCTTTTTTGGGTAAAACCCACTTCAGATGAGTGAAATGGGTTTTATCCATGAAAGATCATGGTGTATTTGTTAGTCTCTATGGTGCCACAGGACTGCTCGTAATTTCTATTATGTAACTGAACCTTAAGAATTGAACTCCTGTCCAAGGCTCGCTGAACTGCAGCAAGCCCCACTCGCCAGCCGGCGAGCTGCGCATGAGCAGATCGTTCTGCGCATGCGCAGATCGCCCGAACCCGGCTCTTCCGGGTTGCAATCTACTCGCCATAGGCGAGTAGATTGCATTATTTGTCGAGCCCTGCTCATGTCTGTATGTATATTGATCTTTTAACCAACACTATTTTTTCTAGTAAATAGTTTAGTTAATAAAAGTTGGCTATAACACATGTGTTTAGGATAAGGTCTGAAATATTTTATTGAACTGGAAGATAATGTGTCTGATTTTTTGGGACTGGTAGAACCTTGTTTGACTGAAGTGTCTGAGTGGAAGCTTGAAGCTAGGTAATTTGAGGGAACTGCATTGTTTGGACTTCACATTGACCAATAAGGTAATATGGAAGCTGTTTTGTGCTGGCTTGGTGATTAAAAATACTGGAATAACCACCAGTTTTGGGGATCAGGCATCCCATTTCTTGCAGAACACCCTAATTGAATCACCTCAGCTGGCTCCCCTAGGGTCCGGGTACCACAGGTCCAAGGTAATTATCAATCTTTTTTCTTGGCTAAAAACAAAGAAAACTAATATGAAGTGTTCAAGAAAATATCAGGATATGAATGAAGGATAGTGTTGCCAGGTGGTTTAACCAAAAATACCGAACCCCCTTTCCCCCCCTCTCCCCCCCGGCCGGCCCAAAAAAACATCAGGGAAAAAATTCTGTTGAGGAAAAAAAAGGGGGAGGGGGGGGAAACAGACCCTGAGAGTTATTAAGCAATGAAAATGTACAAAAAATTAAAAAACCAGCATGGCCCCTTTAAGAAATGCCTTGAGGCTTTTTTGGCTTTAACAGGCTTTTTTTCTGCTCTGAGCCAGAAGACAGCTCCCCTGAGGAACCAGGTAAGCAGAGGGGTGGGGGGAAGGAGGGACCTGGGCCCAGTTGCTGTGTGTGTGTAGGGTTGCCAGGTGTCCAGTATTTTTGCCTCCTGGCTGGGGAGGCAGGGGGGAGAGAATCAGAAAATAGCGGACATTTTAGGTGTCTAGTATTTTCTGAATTTTTTTTTTTTAACCGGACAGGAGGTAAAAATACCGGATTGTCCAGGTCAATACTGGACACCTGGCAAGGAGTCCTATTTCTCTAAAATGATTTAAAATGCTGTCCATTCACCTTTGTCCTAGCCAGCTGCTAAAGTTTCTCATTTTTAATCCATGCAATCTAAAGCAATGAAGAAGTCTGATAAAAATGAAATTAATTTAGTTCTGTACAATTAAGAATTTGGAGGAATCCCTCTTTCTTTTGAACATATAAAATGAAAAGATCCACCACCTCCAGAAGGCTGTGAATAATTAGTTTTACTAACAGGACTGTCAGAAATTTTTGAACACTTACTTAGCACAGGATTTTGCACACTTACTTAGCAAAGGTTTAAGTTTTCCCCTGATTCCTTCCCCCAGCAGATTTTACAAATAACTTTTTCCTCACACACACACACACACACACACACACACACACACACACACACACCATTAAAAATAAATGGCATTAATAAAGCCAGAGAGACAGCATTTTTATTCATTTAAATTTTGCATGGGAACATGTTTATATACACAGACGCAGGAGTTCAAAGTACAAGTCATTAGGAAACTGACCACAGTTCTCTCACTTCGCTAACTTGTCTGAGAATGGTATCAGACTTGACTCCGCCATTGACACTTATTTTATCAGATGAGCAATTTGAGTAATAACTTTATAGTCAATCTCTTGACTTCATATCAGTTTACACCAACTGCAGAGCTGGCAAAAAACCTGAATAAAGGTGTTAAAAATTATTAAAAGCCAAAAGAGAGGCCAGATTCTACTCTTAGTTACACTGCTGTAAGTTCAGAGCAACTCCATTGCAATCAATTGAGTTTTTAGTGCTGTTCCCATGAGGTTATTCAAGAATTGTATTGATACAACTGAGAATAAGTTTTGGCTCGGACTCACCTTGAAAATGTACAGCTCAGTTCTCCGGTCATGCCTAGTCAACTAATATGTCCAGAAAATGGCAAGAGGAGGGGTGAGGTCAAGGTTCTCCCTTGTCCACGCCTCTCTGTGTTCCCATTTTACACAGGGCCTGCACTACTTCACCAGAACCAAAGACAAGGCCCAAGTAGGCTACCCAATGGCATTGGGGCATATAAAACTCCAATGTACAAAGGTTTCACTCACCCACTCAGTGCCTGATTCATAGAGGATAAGAGTCCGTTACTGACCCTGAAGTGTTTGTGCTCAGGCTTCAGCAACTGGTGTATTTAAGCTTCGGAAGTCTCCACCTCAGTGTATTGGCGAAGTTGCAGCAGTCACAAAAGTTGTGTGCTTGTTCAGGATTCAAACTGCTTTGGCTCCTTTGTCTAACAGATGTACATAACCACTTTTGAACTTGTGTTACAAAAGTTTACACTCGGTGCCACATCCTCAGGGGATGGGAGCCCGTCACAGCTGCCTGCTCCAAACTCTGGCTCATGAGCTCTAGCAGTAGAGAGCTTTTGGTTCTAGAGGTTTCTGTGCCCCTTGAATAAGATAATTGTTCTCACACTTAGACCTCTTTGTGTTCTATTGAGCAGAACACAAATGTTGTAGTCTTGTGTGCATATCTTTCTCTTATGGATTATGTATAGACTGGCCAGATCCCCAACTGGTTTAAATTAAAAGTGCCATTTTACATCAGCTAAAGTACAATATTTTAAAGTACCTATGTATTTTAGGAATCTATCCCACTGGCTTTCTATAAAAGCCAGTCATATAAGAGCCTGGAAAATTTTACCCCTCACCTAGCAACATATGCGTGTGCAGCACATTTCATTAGGGTGTGAACCCAGGGAATTTTAAGGTGAACATTTATTGAATACTCAATCATAAAGGACATTATTTTTATTCATCAAACAAACTAAAGAAACTAAAACTTAAAAAAATTAAGTTAAATTAACAACTAAACTTTACTTTAAAAATACAAATTTAAGTATGGGACATTGTACTTTGTTTTTTACATGTGCGATCCAGCGCTTATTGCATAATACAGCAATCCATACTTTAAAACTAAAAGAGCGTATCATGCGATTAAATTAAAATGCAAAGCCACTTTTTTTTTTGAGACATTATAGGGTTACCAGGTAGACTTTAAAAAAAATACCGGACAAACTTCATGGGGGGAGAAGCAGGGGGAGGGACCGGCCGGGAGGGGAGCGTGGCTGGCCGGGAGGAAGGGGGGGCAGCCTACGAGAAGCAGAGCTGGTCAGTGGGGGAAGGGGGGAGCGGGGCTAGCTGGAGGAGATCGGGGGGAAGGGGGTCGGTCAGAGAGAGCAGGGCTGGCCAGGGGTGTAGCGGGGCTGGCCGGGAGAGATCGGGAGAGGAGGGGAGAACTGGCCACCGGAAGCAAGGCTGGCGGCGGGTACAGTAGGGCTGGCCGGGGAAGATCAGGAGGAGAAGTGGGAGAGAACCAACCCCACCAGGAGGAGTTTGCATTGCCCCATTTCACATGTGCAGCAGCTCTGAGTGGCTCCTGGAAGCAGGGCTGGCCAGGGGCTAAACACATGCTGCCTCACCCCAAACACCAGGTCTGCAGCTGAGAACTATGGCCAAAGGGAGCTGAGGGAACAGCGCCTGCGGATGAAGCAGCATGCAGAGCCACATGGCCTCACCAGATTATGGATGGCCTGGTGCTTCCAGGAGCCGCTAGAAGTAAAAGCTGACAAGTTCTTACACCCACCCACCCCAACCTCCTGCCCCAGCCCTGATAGGCCCCCTCCCCCCCACCACTAGTTCCAAACACTTCAATCCCAGTATGGTGCATCCTCCTGTATCCCAAGCCCAGACCCATCCAAGAATCTGCAGACCAGAGTCTCAGCACTCAAGCCTGACCCCAGGGCCTGCACCCCCAGCCAGAGCACTTGCCCACTCATGCACCGTAATCCCCACTTTTGTGAGCATTCATGATCCTCCATAAAATTTCCATACAAAGCTGTAGCCCTCAGGCAAAAGGTTTGCCCACCCTAGCACAGGACAACCTTCAGATCACGTTACTGCACCTAAGACTTACTCTTTAATCATGGACTATAGTCAAACAACTCCCCTCTGCCGTAGAGTCTGCCTCTACCCGTCCCTGCCCCTACTCTTCTTCCAATAGAAGTGGCCCAGGACACTGTCCCTGCTGTTGCTGGTGAGTGCACGAGGTAAAATCCTCTTAAAATCAGGAATAAGGGATCTTTCGGAAAAGGGTTTATTTTCCGAAAGATCCCGTCTAGACTGGCACTTTTCTCCGGCAAAGCCCCGAGCCGGAAAAAAGCGGCAGCCATGTTTATACAAATGAAGCGGGGGATATTTAAATCCCCCGTTTCATTTGCAATTCCGACTTGTCTCATCTGCATCCCTTTTCCCGAAAAGGGGTGCAGTGTAGACACAGCCATCGTGTATGAGTGTTTTCCTGACTTGGGGCCTAACCTAGGAA